AGGACCCTTTGTAATCGTGAACTTGTGCTCGTTCCAAGTACCAGCCGGTCTCTAGCCACTGGAAACCTCGTCCAACGTTCTCCGCGATACTTTGGGAATTAAATCGTCCGCCCGTCGAGGCTGAGGTCAATTAAGACATCGAACCGACGGGACCAAGGCAAATGATTTCTACTTAGTATACCTAAGTGGCCGAAACAGTCCAATAACTTGGGATTTGGAAGAAACTCGCTTCGTCTCGAGCCGACTGTTCCAATAATAATAACGATAATGCCTCTTTATTGCAACGAGATTGTAGGGAAAAGTAGAGACGAAATATTGAACGAGGAGATTTCAACTTCGTTTGAATGTTAAAATCTTAATTCTGAGAGTATCAGAGAAAAGTGAAGCGTCGCAAATAAACGTTTCTTCGACTCGAGTCGGCGGTTTCTCTCTTTCGCGATCTGAAGAGCTCTCGAGACGTGGCGTTTCGCAAGAATCTCCGATGCTCCTTTATGTTCGTCTGTCAAGGATGTTTGCGTAGTCGCGAACGCGTCCTTCTGATTCACCGATTCGCATAAACGGATATTCAATGTAATGGAAAAGCTCAGCTTTGTACAAAGTGTAATTCGTTGGAGGATCTGTGGATTCTTCGAATGTTTAAAGAAATTGGAATATGTAATAACAAAGATCGATGAAGCAGTTATTCATACCGCGACGGAATTCTCGAATTCCGTCGTTCGGCGTTTCGCGATTCGCGCGTTTCATTTTGTCCAATTACACGGCGAAAAGTAACGACGGTCGTCCGCGTTTTGAGCCGCGGAATGCGGTCTCCGAGCACGAACGGAACAGCTAGCAAGAAAATAGTGTCCCGGCGCGTCCAGCGAACTTATACGAAGCCGAAGAAACTGCCACGAGGTCGTGACAAAAGACTGCTGTCGGTGGAGCAAGCAGTCCCGTAAATTCTTACGCGCAACAGGAAGAAAATTATCGCTGTTCCTTCTTAATAGCAATTACCAATTTTTTTGCGACCCGTTACGTTAGTCGACCGCGGCTTTAACGTCCAAGATACGCTGATTAGTGTAAGTACTTTCTCTTGTACGCTAGAAAGCGATTTATCACTTTTGGAAATACAGTAAATTCTCGTTCAATGAAATTCTTGCGATATCGAGGCGCTCGAAGAATGTCCCATCGCTCTACGATTTATTTTCGGTGTTCTATTCCGTAACAATTGCAAGGAAAAAGTACTACACTCGTTGTATTATCTCTAAGCAATCGCGAACAATTTTTTGAATGCAATCGAGGAATTTGGTACGTAACATTGATCGTTAGTTTTGGAAGTAGTAAGTACATAATGTCAGAGATTGTCGAAGTAACGAAATAATATTCTCTAAAGGCTTTGTTAGAAAATCCGTAAATAGCAGTGGGGCCTAACTTTCCTTTTGCTCGCGTCGAATAACCCTGAACGAAACGATTCAAAACATCCGAATGAAGCAATTATCAGCGCGCGGAGTCGCTCGGGGGCAGATCGCGATGCCCGTTAAGAATACACGAAAGCGCGTATACCGTCGAGGCAGCGAGGAGACAGAAAAAATAAGATAGAAAGGGAAAGAAAAATCGAACGATGCGCGCATTACCAACAAAAATCTTGTAAATCCCCTCGGAAGAGACTGTCGAACGGCGTCGAGCATTTCAACGACGTCGCGTATCTGGCATTCGAATCTCCGTCGCGCGCGAGTCTTCGATTCTCTTTTCCTCTTATCGGGAACGAAAAATCGAGGCTTTCGCGGCGCCGTGCAAAAAGGACATAATCGAAATTTCAAGAGTCTCGCAGGGGTCGTGGTCCCGAAGAATGCATATCCTGCATCGAGAGAAGGAAAATGGCCGCCGTTCGAGGCAGCGTTACCAGCGTTTCTTTTTTTTTTTTTCTTACCACTATCGACAATCGATTCACGAGCCACGATAGCTACCTTCGACGTTCCGCTTTTTGTCTCGTCGCGAATCTTTTGACATTTGCATCTTGGCTGCCGCGAATACGCGGGATGCCGCGAGATATCGGGGACGTCGCCTAACCGGATAACATCGTGAACGTATTGCAACGGGACAGAGATAGAGGGACCAGAGGGTCCAGGACTCCCCGTCGCGTGAAATTCTGCGTCGAATCTCGTTGGAAAATATCAATAATTTTAGGACGAGAGCGTCGACACCAATTAAAGCTTGCACGCAAATCTCATCGAGCGTGGCTAATTATTATTCGTGACGGAATTCAGGGGGAACCGTGTCGACGACGAGGCTGTAGCAACCTTTTCCCATCGCGGTGATCGTTTCTAGCTTGACGAGCCGCGTACACAGCTTGAATTTTATTCGACGGAAACCGCTCCGTTGGTTTTTCTAACGTGCGTACGCTTACGCGGCTCGCCCAAAGAATTCAAAGACCCACGAGTCGTGCTCGTCCCTCCGCAAAAATAATGAATTCCCCCGTCTTCTTGCGCCAAGTGCTTCCTGAAATAACCGATTCGTCTTACACGCGTACCCGTCGAATTCCGCGAAACTACTCGAAGGAGACAGAGAATAAATATTTTCTGCCGGTTAATGCCATACATTTACGGCCTGGCGCAGACCGCTCCTCCCATCTTAAGTACGTGCCTGATGCTCATTAAATGATTCGACCGATACGACGTATCATTATCGGCGCGATAATAATCAATCGAGGATGCCTCGATCCGCGCGCGTCGCGGATTATAATCGAGTACCAATCGGTCCTAGCCGCTGCGTTAAAACGTTGCGTCATCCCCGCAAGGTGAACAAAAATTCAAATTTTTTAGCGTAAAACAACAGTTAAAAGCCTTCGAAATAATATGGAAGAAACACCAGCAGTTAAAATGTGATGATCTATACATTTTTAATTGTTAATAAAATATTCGAACAAACGTCGTGTACGGGGCTCGAAGGGCTAATTGTATTTTTTCGACGCGCTGTTTCGTGTACCATTTTTCCCCACGAAAGATTGCAAACACCGTTTAAGAAAACATTAACCGCGTTTCGCGGCAAATTCGAAGATCAATCGCCGTTCGTCATTAAGACGCAAAATGTACACGCCTACCGTGATTTTCGTATCGTTTATATCGCGTGTGTGAGTTTCGTTCGCGAAATTGCAGCTGGAAACGACACGAACACGGGGTAAAGTGTCCTCTGGGGTAAGCCGAGCCGATCGACGGATGTGTTCCTTAACGCGAAACCGGATAAACGCGATACAATATCGGTAATGACAGCCCATTAAATATTTTACGACGTAATGATAGCGTCGATATCGATCGGTATATACTCTGACCTTTCGAAACGCGTAGTCGACAAGATAATCGTCCAAGAAAGCAACTATGTACCAACGCGGTTCGTGTAACGTTTACTCGGCCCGAGCACCCGGAGAAAGATTTTGCATTCGATTTGCATACGATATTAACGAGACTCGTAACCGAGTGTCGATCGAACAAGCAGGTACAGTCTGTTCTTTAACAATTATCGCGTCGCATTCGAGACACGATCGAACGCGATTAAGATTCACGGATGAACGTCGATCGTGATCGTTGCGCCGGGTGAAAGTTATCGCACTGTCAGAAATTAGGTGGAGTTCCACGGAATCTAGGTTGTACGAATAACGTTGTGGTATTTCTAATAGTAATTAGCACCAGGACGTGCGACCAGAGACGAGATATATGAGTAGACCTTACATTCAATGTATTTCTTCGTCAAAATTTTTGTCTAATCCTCTTTTGTAGGTATTCATTGGGCTCTACTTCATAAATTAATTGATTCTAAAGAATCTTATACGAAATTTCATCGTACTTCTTATCACCAGAAATAAGTAGAATTTATAATTAATTCTCGTCAAACTAACATTGAAAATGTACTCCTAGAAAGTGCAGTATTTCCACAGAACCTTCGCGTACATATTCAGACGCCAAATGGTAATATCGATGGAGTTGCTCGCGGTTGGAACTTTCATTAGATGAAAACGGAAAATTCGCTCGATTTCTCAATTCGCTCACGTCGATTTCGCCCGTTTACTTTCGTCGATTTACCGGGAACCGTGTTCCCGGTCGTCGTGGCTTTATTCCCTCCACATAATTGCATCTATCAAACAGCCACGTCGTCTCGGATTTATATCCAAGCGAGTGTCGCGTTTACGTTAACGGGCACGAACACGTCGCGGGCATTACGAAACGCGTAACGCCGGCGCAAAACGAATAAAATCCGAGCCCCCGAGGGATCAGCATCGAGAAAGTGATAAAAGACCGCTGCCAATGCGGTCGCGCAAAAATTCTCGTAAATTGTTTCTTATAAAAGAACGCGAACTTATTGCCATCGTCTTCGCTCGGTCTTGGTAGCGATTTCTCCTTTCCGCTTTTTTTTTTTCTTCTTTTTCTTTTTTTTCTTTGCAGGGACCGCGTGCTGGGTGCCGCGGGCTCTTATTACGGAGATACGCGTATCAATGTGAGTATATTCTCGCGTTCCGTTCGCGTAAAGGGTCGCGCAAAGCGAACAAGAAAAACGCGTTTATGCGTTTCTGGCGTGCGCGTTGTGCTTTTCCGTGGCGAACCCCGCGGCTCCGACACGAGCACCCTTTACAACGCATACTTCTCGAAAATATTGCAATCGCTATAGCGAGCTGGCGTCCCCGCGCGTCCCGTTACCGCCGAAATAATGGCGCGTCAGGGAACGATTTCGCGCTCCGAGTGTAGCGTCGCGCTTTGTCGCGCATCGAAATCACCCGGCTCGAGGCTGGACAACGGAAGGCAACGTTTACGTGTCGCCATAAAAGACGCGCAGCATTTGGAGAATGTAAAACGCTCGAAAGCCCCATTGGCACGTATTGAACCAACATTTTCTAAAGCGGGCATTTTACAATCCACAAGAGACCCTATAGGAAAATTTTTATCATTAAAAATTGCGATCTTCTGGGCAGAAACATGGACTGTTTTTGTAATTTTTTAAATTTTAGGACTTAAAGATCGATATCAACTCACCACATTGTCTTGGCGAGCGATGTCTGAATTATGCTTCAGCAGCAATTGGACTACCTCCAAGTGGCCTTCCGAAGCTGCCTTTTGCAAAGCTGTGATGCCAGTCTGGAACAACATTAGAGAAACTATTAATACTTGGTGGCTCGAGTAACGTTAGAAGCAAGAACTGCTCGTTCTTTGCAAATATTTCTCGGTAAACGTTCTTGCCCCGATGTCTGAAACTCTTTGATCTGATTCATACATGCACCACGAGGATTCTCAAGAATCCTGACAACTTTCTAAACCATGAAAGATTTATTAGCCGCTTTCCTTTACTTATAAATATTGCAAATACTTAATGCATTGGTTTTTTTATCGTTTGAAATGCAGTTATTCGCGTGGAACGTGCCTAAACTAGAGATCCTCTGTGTTGAGCTTTTTGCTGGAAATCTGTAATTTACTTCGTTAGGAAAATATTTGATAAACATCGTACGCTCGGAAAGAAATATCTCTCTTGCCTCTAATAGAGTCTTTTTGTTTTACGACTTCCTCCCGACATTATAATTTGTCTATTTCTTGATCAACTCGGAACCGAATTCCATCACCTCATGGGAAAAAAGACATAAAACGGGACAGGGTAATAAAACCAGCAACGCAGGCGTTTGAATGTCATTAAAAGGTAGCAGAGTCACAAACTCCGGTTTCGAAGACTTTTCGTACGGTCACAAATTAAGCAATTGTATGGCCGGAGGATCACGTTATCTCCGTCGTCCCTCGAATGGGTCCTGGACGATCGTATTCACGGGGAAAGGTTCACTAAAGATACAGACATTCCTAAGTAGCCCACGGACAAACGGTCTAGACCTGAGAAAACTATCACGCATAAATTGTTCAGGCTGTCTCGCGCGCTCGGTCTTCCACGCGGTGTTTGTACCGTTACGGTGAAAATGGAAGAAAAAGACGCGTAACGTACAATCAGGGTTTCTACGTGGGCGTTAAAAAGGATCGGTATCCACCGGTTTTAAAAAATTTCGCGCCAGACGAACAATATCTCGGAAAAACCGGACACTATCGTTGCTATAACAAGACGTACTTGCGAAGCTGTGTATATTTTATTAATATTTTTCAGGCTATTGAAACAACAATTTAAAGAGTACGTAAGTGGCGGACGAGAAACTTGTTCTCTCGCATCCGTTATTTGAAACACGTCTGCTTATCAGAAAATCGGGCTCCACGATTAACTTATCGTACGCGCGATGCATGATAATCCCTACGCGCAATTAAACTACGTAAAAATATCTAGACGCAGAACACGAAAGCCTGGCTGCTGGCTAGATTCGTGGCCGGATACGGGACGAAGGCGTTATCGAATCTACCGATGTGCCAATCAATACATCCACGTTATTCAATTGCGAAACTCCTGGCAAATAAGGTACACGTTTCCATTGAAATTTTTCCCTGTTGCAACAGTCGCGAGGGGACTGTAGGGAATAATAACTTAATTGACAGAAATTGCGATTTCCCTTTCAGGTTTACGTATTGATATATTTAAAAGGAGTCGAGGAACATTCCAACGTTTAAAGTGGCGAAACGAACGAAGGAATGGGGTATTGTGTTTTCTCGTTTCGTGGCTCGTGGGTTAGTGTATCATCGAGATCACGCGCAGACAAATGACCGGTGAGACTATTTGACGTGCCAAGATACTACCGTCTTACAATCAGGACAACTACGACGAAGACATATCAGGATCTTGCCAATAATTCCAACGCGGTAGGTACTCGACGCATCCTCCATAAATCATGAAGCTATCCCTTCGAGCGAGACTTCGCTCCCCTTCGCCAATGGCCGCTGGTTTACAACGGGGAGCGAAGAATCATTGACAAGCTTCTACATGAAAATCGCGAGTCTATCGCTGTAAATGGAAAACTTATTTTTTTCTTTTTCTCTAGCGGGGCGTATGCGGATGCGTGACGTGTGCACTCATGAATCATTCAAATTGCCGCTGAGTGATGGAACTCTCGCTGCGAGGTACGATCTTTCTTTAACAAGGAGAAAACTCGCGCCGATTCCCTTTTCTGGACGCTCGACTGGACTCGCCGTTTACTTAATTTTAACGTATTTGTAAATAATTAGGGGCGAGTTTTAGCCGTTGACGGGCAGGAGACGCATAGCCCTGCGATCGGGGAACGTCAACTTATTCCGACGCTTATTGCTCAGTCCGCACGTGCGATCTGAAATTGCTCAATTTGTTTTTACGCTGTAGCCATAGCCTAAGACAGAGGGATCGGATAAACTTTTGAACTTAAGTGACTTATATCGTTTTCAATTCTCTACTTCTCATCTTTCACATTCCTATCGATATAGTTTGGATGGACTTTTCAAACATTTTCTTTGTTTTCTTTTTCTATTTTTTAATTAATTTATTATCCAAGTGAGCCTGAAAAGTCTTGTGAATCAGGCTTTAAGGTTGGTTTCGTTCGACTTGTACACTCTCCTGACCGAGGCTGGGACGGAGACCGCAAGCTAACCACTGGTTAATTAATACTTATTCGACTCCGAGGCATTCATTTCCGTAATGACAGTGAGGAACAAAGGGCAACTTTACGCTCGGCGCGCATTTTATTAGCACTCGGGACCAGCCATAGCCTGGGCGCACAGTTTCCACAGCTACGAATGACCGACGACGACCATAAATGTCTGCATAAGCAAGCAAGCTGTAAAAACGGATTCGCGAGGCTAGCGAATCGTTACGGACAATATGTCTGACCCGTTAGATAGTTGTATATTGTCGGAATCTTGGAATAGTTAATGCAACATGGAGCATAATAATTTAATATTTATTAAATGTTCAAAAAAATTTTATTATCGTAAGATTGACTAAATTTTAATATTTATTGGAAACGCGAATCGACACTCGATACATTCGATATCGAACGTTTCGTAAACATAAACGAATTTCTTGCACACTTTCCAAGACTTGTCTGGCATGTTTATTGAACGCTTTTCGTTTTCTTTGCTTTGCCGGCAATCACGTGGCTTAAATTATAAATCATGAAACTTGAAACCGAACTGTGAAACTTGATGTTAGCTTGTCCGGGCGTATATCTTTGCTAACGGACTAAAAATGGAAGAAAAAGACGTCGACTCATGCTTCTTAATAATCCTTACTGTCGCGCGCGTTCGGTAAATTTATTTTGATTTCGAAAGCTTGTTAACTGTCAAAACGAATTTGTAAAATATTTATTCGCGTATCGAATTTATTTTCAAATTTATTCGTATAGACGACGCTTGCCGTATTAAACCGTCGATATAAAAATGGCGGGGGACAGTGCAGGCATAATTTCTGCAAGGATATATTTCGTTGATAGTTTCTTTTCTCTTTTTTATTATTTAACGTTACTTCGAACGCCTGCTGTCCCGTAGGAAACACACAGAACTGTTTCACGAAGGCGTCGATTTCACGCGACGTTAACTCTAGTAATAACCGAACCCTCCAACAAGAAGAGGAACATTGTTAACGAAGATTGTGTTAATACAAGAGCTAACGTCCCTTCACCGCCCAAGGGAACCTCTGTGTATAAATTAACCCATTATCTTAATTACGACGACGATCTTACTGCAGGTGAATAAGTCTTGCGATCGTATTTTTAAAATATTTATGCAAATATAAAAATCAAAAATATTCGAATAAGAATTGTAATAAAAAATACATAAACCCCAACTCATAAAAGCAATCAGCCAGGCAATTATGCACAAGAAATAATTGATTACGCGTTATATATATTTATTGCGCAGTTCGTTGCAGAGAAAGCTCTTAAATGCTGTTCGACTGTATAAAGGCTCGATCTACCATTTTTGAACGAGTTTATTAAATTGTGGTCAATAAATCGACAGTAAAATATCGTATCGTTTAGAGTGTTCTGTGTGTTACAAATTCGAGCGTTTATAATTATCAAAGCATCGGTAATAATTAATTTACGTGGCGATTAACATCACTTCTCTCACGTGTAAATGTGATATTATAAAATTCGACTTTTTCCTATCATTGACCAAATTTGAGATGCAGCCAGTCTTAATTGCGCGACTCATTCCGTCATATCGATCGTTTGTGCAGGAAGTGCACGTCGTACGGATGCAACCGATAAAAGGATGCACGTGGTGAGGTCTTTTTGCAGGAAGCATACGTGGACTTCTCGTGTCAGCTGTATACCGGACATACTTAATCCGAGAGGGGGGGATTAGGTCCAAGCATGGGGCCAGGTTTCTCCCTTGTTAATCTTTAAAAATGTGAGGATGGAAAGCTATGGTGAACGCTTCACGACAACTAATAAGATACGGCGATTATTTGATCATCGACTGGCGCTTAAGTATGATAGTGTCGTTCGTCGTTTTACGACGTCCCTTCGTATATACTTTATCTATTTTAACTCGTAGATTCCCTAAAATACGATCGTATATTTCTAAAACGCTCTGTAAAATCAAGAAAATCAACGTTACGTAATCGATGAGTCCCTCGAACGTTAGTGAGAATCTACCTTAATTAAGTAGTACGCGTGCGTACGTCGATTCTAATAAGCCAGGTTAAGTTCAAGTGACAGTTATAAAATGGACGCTGACGAAGGTTGCAGGGGAGCCTTTCGTATTTCAGTCACGATCAATGAGTCAACGATGCATGAGTTTACGTTTTAATGAATAGACAGGGCGTTTCATAAGAGGCGTATGTAATTCCAGGTGCGATTCACACATGCCTATGATAATAACAAAGTACAGTGTCAATATTTGGCCAGCGAGAATTGGTTTACTAGTAACGCTTTTTTTAATAATTAACGAAGCGTTTTATATTTCTAAAAATTCACCGTTACTTTTGAGTAAATTTTACGTTCGTGCAAATAGGCCGCGCCTGAAATTTGCGTCCGAGGATTTACGAGCGAAGCGAACCGTTTACCAAGAATTGTAATATTAAACAAGTAGGTCATAAAAGAAAATGCAGTTTCGCTACGCGGGCCCATTACCGGTCTATCCAGTAAATCCATTTTGACGTTGCGGTATCGATCATTACTAACAGGGTTTACCTACAAGGCAGCGGGGCCCTCGAACCGACGCGAGACGAACAGGAAGATATTTCT